TCTGCTAGCTGCTGCTGCCTGCTGCAGTCTTCCGTGCTGCAGCACGGAAGACTGCAGCGGCTGCAGCAGCAAGGAGGGCCTACCTGGGCAGCTCTATGGCGTCAATGTCCCCGCCCTCGCAGCTAAGGGCCTCGACGTCGTGGGGCCCCCGGGGGCCCCTTGCTGCTTGGGTCCAGACGAGAATGTGGCTGAGGGCCTCAACTCTAAGAAGACTTTCTCTCACGTGGGCCAAGGGGGATTCTTCTGGAGCCAGGAGGAGGTTAACGAGGGTCTCCGCAGGCGCAGCGGGGTCTTCCTCCGCCTCCTCGAAGCCCCTGCTGCTGCTGCTGCTGCTGCTGCTGCTTGCTGCTGCTGCTGCGCGCCTAGAAGCCTGCTTGCGAGGCTTCAGCGGGACTCTGCGGATAAGGGCGCTGGCCTCGGCGGCCAGCCCGGGCCCCTCGGCAGTGTGGACGAGGTGTACGTACACCCGAAAAGGCCGCAGCGTCCGCGCTGCTGCCTGCGGCCGCTGGTAACCAGTAAGAAGAGAAAGTTCGTCGCAAACCCAAAACTCAAAGTCCTCCAAAAGACAAAAAGGCAAAAGACCCTGACCACACAAGCATGCAGACCGCTCCCGGGATCGCCCGATCCCACGGCGCAACGCATCCCCGGGATCGCACGATCCCACACGCCACAAGACCCCACACTGCGCAGAAACGGGGGCCCCGGGGACCCGGGACCCCAGGGGCCCCCAAGCCCTAGAACCCTACGCGCAGGGGCCCCTTGGCTAGGCACAGGGGCCCCTATGCCCAGGGGCCCCTAGCCCAGTGGCCCCTAGGCCCAGGGGCCCCTAGCCCAGGGACCCCTAAACCCAGGGGCCCCTATGCCGAGAGGCCCCTAGGCCCAGGGGCCCCTACGCCCAGGAACCAGCCTTTTATAAATAATGCCAAAGCCCCTTAAAAGTCCCAAAAGCTGGAGAATTTGCCCCTGCTGCTGCTTACCCTGAGGTGCCGGGAGGGTACATACACCTCGCGGGGGCCCCCGGGGCCTCTCCGCCTGGCAATGACCAGAGAGGGGGCACAGGGTCCCTTAGAATCGAAGCTGGAGGCCAGCTGCTGCGCAGCTTCTCTTGCTGCTGCTGCTGCTGCTGCTGCGTGGAGTCCGCCCTCGTCTTCAGCCCCAGCGGACGCCGACGCCGCTGCTGCTTCTGCTGCTGCTGCTGCTGCAGCAATCTCCTCAGCCGAAGCCAGCCCAAGGTCAGGGACTTGGTACAGTGACCCTGCAGCAAGCTCAGGGGCCTCCGTGGGGGCCCTCAGCAGGGGAGCCCCCAGCCTTTTGGTGCAGCAGCAATCCAATGAGGCCCTGAGGGAGGAAGAGAAGCAAAGCTGTCTGTACACCTGTCGCCCACTTTCCACCAAATCAAAAACAAACACAACTCCAGGACTTCTCAGAAAAACAATTTCTTTCAAACACCGCGGGGCCCCCTCCGCGGGGGCCTCTGTGGGGCCCCCCGCCCCTCCGGACACCGCTGCTGCCGCTGCTGCTGCTGCAGCAA